CCAATCAGATGCAGGCATGGCTTATGTCACCTGGCCAACCAGATGTTGGCTCTCCAGTCTATGTAAGAGCTCCATATTATCCCATTCAAAGCTGGGACATTGCACAGAAGAGGGGAAAACTTTGCTGAACTTCAATGCTTTCTGCACTTGCACTGACACTTGAAATGTCAAGAAAATCTCTCGGGCTAAAGTGTAGATGGAAGCATGCTTAAACCTATTAAAAAAAACCAATGCTCAATTCTGCAAAGTGTACATCACATGTTAAGTATGAGACAGGGGTGTGCATCAGCTCTGTGTACTTCCAGGGTACAAATGTGCATGTCTATAGAGGTGTGGGCTTTGACAGGGACCAAGTGAAGCCCACCCCTCCCCTTGCCCAGCCTGCCAACTCAACCTCCCTACCAAGTCTTGTGTTTTTGCATACAAATAGCAGTTAATTCAAGCAATGTGATATTGTCATATGTGCCTGTGCTTGCCAATGTCCTGGATGGTCTTATGGTACCCAAGTAATGCCGCAGGTTGTGCTGGTGCAGAAGTCCTTCCATCTAATCCTATGCACCTATTTGCCAGTGCAGTAGCTGGTACAATCAGGCTGCAAATGTCTTGCAATTGTTATTCATAGGAACCAAAGAACAAAGGAGTCAAATTTTGTAAAATAAATCATACTTTGGCACATTTGACTAGGTTTAGCCAGCCAGTTAGGTACCTAATGGCATGAAAAAATGTAATTGCACACTTAAATGTATGTTAATTCCCAAGCTCTCTACCTTGCTTGAGCGCCCTTATGGATGAGCGCAATTATTTCGATACTGTTCAACAGTGCCTGTTAGTGAGCTTAGCATCTTTTGCGTACATGGTTAGCCATACAAATGCTACTATTGTATATATATATTTGTGCCCATTCAGCTGGGCCATTTGTTGATGTTGTTTGGAGAAAGATTTGAAGATTTATTCAGCTAGTTCCATTTGGGTACATTTTGAACAATACAGTTTATTTCATGGATTGCATTCAAGCAAGCACATCTGAGGTCAACTAATTCTCATGGACAACTGCATAGTAAAATATGGTTGGCCAAGGCATGGAATCAACCATAAGATACCTGAAACAAACAGCATGGGATATCCATAAATACTTGATTGGAATAGAACTATGCATATGGACAATATTAGGGGGAAAACATGTCTGCCCTTTAATATGTGCATATCTGTTATTTCAGCCTTTATGGGTTGTTTCCAAATAAACCATATGCAGAGTATCCTATTCTTATAATTTAAAACCCAGGTAGGAGTGGGGGGAAAGTAGGAATTATTTAATTGCTGTTGCTGCTTCTTTGGCAATCACTCGTAGCCAAATAAGATTGTTTTCCATGAACACAGTCTCAACAGTGAGTCCATAAATGACTGTGGAGGCCAATTCTGGATCCATACGTCCTTCCACAGTGGAGACATAGGTTTCTGGGTGGCAGCTGATCACAGTGAGGATTTGCCAAATGTGCCTTCCTCTTAGCTCATTCCTCCTTTTCACCCCTGCGTTTGTGCTTCTTCAAAGTCCATGACACCTTTGGTAAAGGCTCTTATCCAGCTGGAGCGCTCACAGGCCACTGTGTCCCAGTTATCAGTGCTTATGTTGCATATTTTAGATTTGCCTCGAGAGCATCTTTAAACCTCTTTTGTTGTCCACCAATATTTTGCTTCCCATCCTTGAGTTGGAAATAGAGTACTTGCTTTGGTAGATGATAATCAGGCACCCGAACAACATGACCAGTCCAATAAAGTTGATGTTGAAGAATTGTTGCTTCGACTGGTGATCTTTGCTTCTTTCAGTACACTGAAATTAGTTTGCCTGTCTTCCCAAGTGATGTGTAAAATTTTTCGGAGACACCGTTGATGAAATCTTTCAAGGAGCTAGAGAAAGAAGCAATGGTACCAAAAATTCATATATTTGTTGTTGGAGCCAAATAGCTTTATGCTGTAATGGTTTAGGTTATGGGGAAACAATTCAAACCAAATATTGACTTTGTTTTCTCCCCACTTCTCCAAGATAATACAAAAGAGCTATTTCATATGCCTGTGTGAGTAAAATTGATACCTATTGGCTAGTATCTACGCCATCATGGAACATCATGCTACGCCTGGCATGCAACATTCTCACTGGAAAATAGTTTGCATCTTCTAATAAGTAATAAGGTGCTATGCACCCTAAACTTGGTGCCAGAGACTGCAAGGGAAATTTCAAATGCCACCCCACGAAACCAGTTCAGGGTGCATAGCACCTCTGGTACACAGCCTAATGCTACAGCTGCTCTTGGTGCTTTCTGGGTTGTTGTTTTTCCTGTTGCATCTGGTTGTAACAGTCATGTTTGGAGATGCAGCTCTTCTACCATAAAGTGCATTAGACGGAGATGTGAGTTTGAGTCAAGCTGACGGATAAATATACCCCCCAACCCCTCTGCTCACTGGGGATTACTTATTACATTATAATTGCATTTTATCAGCTTTGCCTCCTGTATCTTGTCTGGTTATGTGTAGAAACACAAAAGCATCAACGTGCTATGAAGAGATGCATCATCTTTTATTCTTGTGCTTCTCTTGCACAGAGGCTGAAAGAGCTAAAACAAAGGGAATTTGCACGGAACGTGGCTTCAAAATCCTGGAAAGATGAGAAGAAACAGGAAAAAGCACTCAAGCGACTCCATCAGCTGGCTGAGCTGCGGAAGCAGTCAGAATGGTAAGCATCTGGAACTTGTACTACATTTTAATCTCATATCCACCCCCCTAGAAGTCCCAGAAGAAATCTCGGTAACTTTACTCCTGCTTTATATAATGCACAGATAATCATCACATGCCCTGCAAGCCCTTTTTAAATTATCAGTGATGCCAAAACATCCTTGCCATAAAATTGGAATCCCTGCATTAATTCCTTGGCATTTGAAGGCTGAGGTTTTTATCCTCTTTCTAATCTGATCAGAACAGACATATTTTTAATTAAAAAAATAGTGCTGTGCTGAGTTTTCAAGAGCAAACATTTTCAGTCCAAAACCATAAGATTTGGAGAAAATTATCCCCTCCTCAGAAAAAACAAACAAACAAACCTGTTTTCCCCCATGCTTTTCAGACTTGTAGCCTCTCCCAACAGCTGCTTTGGCACCATTATTGTTTGGGGGGGGGCAGATTTTCCTTGCTGTGTGAGCCAAACTAATCAGAGATCATCTCACTGGTGTAATGATGTCACAGCATCACAAAACCCATAAGAACTGGTGATGTGGTGATATCACAGAGAGCAAGAGAAACACTTGCATTGCCATCACTGTAAATGGAATGAGAAGGAACCTGACAGACCACTACATTGTCTCCTTGTCTTACCGCACAGTAATAGCAGGTTCACTGCCCACCAGCACAGTTCAGTAAGACCAGAAGCATCATTCTGAATGCTTCTGGAATGGGATGATATACCCCCTCTTGCCCCTTCTCCTCTATGGTCACTTACACATCCTCTGAAGATTGAAAGGGTTCAGGTAATGTTGGAGGAGGAAAAGAAAAGTGCATGAAACTGGCCTCCTGTTTCTCTCAGATCTGATATTTAATATTTCACTAACAGAGCATTTCACCTTATTAAAACAGATCTGAGTTTAATGCTCTTAGCAATTTGTAAAAATTGCTAGGAAAAGGGGGGAAATAAGCCCCAAATCTTTATTTGCTTAGTCTAGAAATCCTTATTTTCATTTCTCTGCACATATACAAACTCTCCAAATAGTTCCTTCCAGGGAACTAAAATAGCAGCCTTACTGTGAAAGAAACACAGAAATGGAGAGGATTCCAGTAGGTAATTTATACTGTATCACTCAGTTACTTATACCGAGTCAGTCTGTTGGTCTATCTTGCATACACCTGCTCTGGCAGCGACTCTCCATCACCTTTTCTTTCCCTGCCGCATGAAATCTTTCACCTGGAGATGACTGAAGCCGAAAACTCTTTCATCCCAAGCATGTGCTCTGCAGACTGCTAAACTAGTAAGTACAGGTACTGTACAGTACAGTGTACAATACGTAGTCCAAAGGCTTCTTGAAGACACAGCAGGGCAAAATTACTAAGGGCACTTCACCTACCATACCACTGTGGTCAGCCTGCCACAGTGTGCAGTATTCGGGCTGTGTCTAAGTAGGTTCTATTCACAGTAGAGCCATTGAAATCAATGAATCTAGGTTAGTCATGTCTATTCTAGAGCTGGGCAATACTCCAATTTCTTGCCTTGAAACCGAAATGGTGTTCACATCGCAATAGTGGTTTCAGACTTTTTGAGCTGACAATACATCGTGGCTCCACAGCTGCCATGATGTATTGGCAGCTCAGATTGCCTTCCCCTGAACAGGTGAGTTGTGTTTTTCCTCTTGGGGCAGTGGGTTGCTCCAGGAGGAAAGACGCAGCCCACCTGCTTGGGCAAAGGCAGGCAGATGCCTTGGATGGAACCCCATACTTCAGTGAAAATGACTACTTTCTGAAATCTAACATTCATTTGTAAATCAAGTGATTTTATTATGTCATTTATTTCCAGCGTTGCTGAATGCAGACCTGCGTTTAAATCTCCCCAAGTGGTTGTAGAAAAAGAGCCGACGCCGCAAGATAAACTTCTGTTAGCTCAAGAAGGCAAAGTCAAGAATACAGCTGAAGGAAAAAGCATCACCAGCAGCACTTCAGAGAAGCAGCAGGAACTTTTGCTAAGCAAGAACCAGTCTTGCATAGAGACACACCGTTTCCTTAGAAGCCACATCTCTCCCGCATTCTCCTGTGGCACCAATGGCTGCAATCGGGCCGGGGTGTCCTTTTCATTCTCTAAAAAAGTCCACCTGAAGCTTGAGTCATCAGCATCCGTTTTCAGTGAGAACATGGAAGATGCATATGACTGCATCAGATCCCCTCGGCATAAAGCAAAGCAGACTTCCGAAGAGTGCCGTGCGTGTATACATATGAGGGACGAGAGGAAAGCAAATGTGCATAAACGGTTAGGCACCATTCAAAGTCACCCAGACAGCTTCGCCTCCTGTAATCTGGCTCGGAAAAATCAACTGCAGAAAGAAAACAATCAGTACAAGGACAGAGAGCAAACAGAAACTCATACTTCATTTCGTAAAGACAAACTACATCTTCCAGATTTGGATTGTTCTGGGTCTCCTGGTGCAAAAGAACAAGGAGGAGACTTGAACGAGACCCAGAAATCCTCGGAAAACGTTGTTACACCTCAATGCCAAACGAATAACATTTGTATGCAGCAAAACACTTACAAGCACAGTGATGGCCTGTTACCAGAATGTGTCTCTGAGTCCTTAGCCCAACGATCATCTGAGCAAGGACATCAATGTGAGGGAAACTACAATCCCTGTGTATTCAAACAATCTTCTGATTGTACAGAAGCTGTCAATGCAGATGCTGAAATGCCTAGGGATAATGAACTGGTTCATGGAATTAAGCCTAAAGCATTGCCTTTTCTTCATGTACTGAGCAAAGATGGCAGGACAGCCTTACGGTGGCCCACAGAACTTCTTTTGTTTACAAAAACAGAACCCTCCATTTCCTATGGTTGTAATCCATTGTATTTTGATTTTCGGCTCTCCTTATCGCATAGAGAAAGTGGGCATCATGAAGTCGACGAAGAAAGTCCTAATGAGCACTCAACAAGAACTATGGACATAGATGGAAATGACGCCTCAGATCTAACTGAGAACAAGCAACTGTCCAGTGAAAAAGATAATCAGTCTTTGAAGCCAAAGAAGAAGAAAAGAGCCCTAAGCCTCAAAAAGTCCCGGCCAAAATTGGATTCAGACACAGAGAATGAAATGAGTCAAAGTGCTCCAAAGTACATCTCAGATGATTTGAATGAAAACCTACCTGAAGTGCCTGCACCCCTTGATTGCTCAAAAAGGCGTTACACGAGAGCAACAAGTCCCCACACAACAATGCATGTGAGATCTTTAGCACAGCAGTTGCAGAACTGTGAAAAAACTCTACAGGAGGAAGTAACTGAAAACCTTTGCATTTATCCCTTGGTGTCTAGGACAAAGAAGCAAAAATGTGCAAAATGTGATTTAATGTATGCCCAAAGACAAACCGACCTGGATTTGGTCACCTGCAGCAGTGACATAAGTGACAGCGGGAAGGATTCCATTCTTGGATACAAGTTAGATTCACCCAGGGAGTCCATGGGAAAAGAAGGCAATGGGAATTTTGCTGGTTGCTGGAAATTCACTCCTTTGCAAAAGCCCTTTTCTGACAGACAGTCTAATTATTCTGACACTTCTGTTAGCAGTGCAACTAGTTACGCTAGTTGCTACTCTAGTCACAGATCAAGTGATCACAGCAGAAGTCATTTGCCTTTTTGCTGCAAAAGGAAACAAAAGCCGGTTGAAAGGCAGAAATGTAAACACAAAAAGCACAATTGCATTTCATCTTCTGATGATGCAGATGGGGGCTGCCTTTTCAACAAAACAAGTCAAAGATCTAGAAACTGTGCACACAGGCATATGGCAAAATATCAAAGACATTCGAGATATAGACATTTACTACAAAGAGATGTATCAAAGCAAAGCAGGAACAGACACCCTCTTTGTAAACACAGCAGGAGCAGGAGCTACAGCAGCTCCAAAGGTTCTTCCATCCAAGATTCAGGAAGCAGCGAAAGATCATCAAGCTGCACCAGATCAAGAGCCAGCAGTTCGGGATCCCTTGCAAAAGAATTGGTGCATGACTGGAACAAACACAAAAAGGATATGAAAAGCACTGACAGAGCTGAACCAGGAAAATCAGACTCTGCACACTCAGACTGCCAGAATGAAAGTTGTCCATCAAAACAAGTTGGAAGCTGCTCCATCAACCACTTAGGAAGGAAAGCAGTGGGGAAGAAGTCATTAACCGCCAAACTCCTTTTAGAGAGGGTGAAATCAAAGCGAAACCAGGAGCAAACTCAGAACACTGAAAGCTTTTCAAATACCTGCGAGAAAGATCTCCCCCATAGTCAACCAGGTGTTAAAGGTGCATCATCAGTGGATAGTGAAGCAATGTTACCTTTGCTTGAGAAAGCCCTTCACATTGATACGAGCAGCAGGTGGAACAATGGAACTGGCTCCGTGGAAAGCAGCACAGGCACAGAGCGAGCCGAAGCTTCAGCGATAGATAATATTATTCTGACAGCTAGCACTAACTATGGCAATAGCCTGCTTAACGACTTAGGTTATCAGGCCCTGAATATGGCACAGGACACTGCAACAAAGCATCAACCGGATCTCTTAGCTGGTGAAATGCAGCCCCTACGACAAAGCTGTGACTCGGTGCCAAATGGTTTTCCTGGTGCTTTTCCTTCTCATGGATATTCTGCTGTTCCCAACCTAACAGAGACCAAAGAAGAACACCATGCAGGTGTAGACTTGTGTGGAGTGGAAGGGGATCTGAACTGCTACTCTGACAGTGCTATGCATAAATCCGGTGAAACAGAAAACAAGACTGAGCCGTACAGTAAGTGCATCCCCTCTCCTTTAACGCAGCAGCCTATAACCTTTTCCCCGGATGAGATAGACAAATATAGGTTTCTTCAGCTGCAGGCCCAGCAGCATATGCAGAAACAGCTTGTGGCAAAGCATCTCAAGGTTGTGCCCGCCCCAGGACCAGCTGCCTTCTCTGCCTCCCCAGCTGTCCCTGTTCAGCAGCACTCGTCTGTTGCCACCCTCCGCCACACGCTGCTGCAGAGCTTTGCCCTGTCCACCGGAGTACATCCTCACAGCAGCCATCTTTCCCTGACTCATATACATCCATTCTCACCATCGCCTTTTGCTCCATTCTCACTCTCGCCCTTTACTCCGGCCTTCGTGCCCACGCACTCGGCGCTCCTGGCGGGACACCCGTTCCATTTTGTATCAGCGACTCCCATCCACCCATCCCATCTGGCAATCCCACCGCTGCCCCACGCAGCCTTTATTCCTACCCTGTTCACGCCGCAGCTGAATACAGCGGCATCTTCTGCCGTACATCTCAACCCCTTGATCCATCCATTATTCCAGACTCAAGAACTTCAGCATCGTTCCTGACCTTGTCGGAGCTGTTGGTTATCTGGAACGGAAATGAAGAAGGTGTCATTTTCCCTTTTAAAATTGCAAAGTCATTGTCCTATGCTCCAAAAGCAATTTAGAATGACAATTCCCATTCAGCAGCCTAATTGCATATCTTATGAGAGACATTGCGGAAATCAAGGTCTGGCTGACGCAGCACATGATTGTTAATTTGATTTTCACATTCCTTACAATAATAGCCTTCCCAAACCTGTTGCCCTCCAGATATTATCGGACTACTGCTCCCATCATCCTGACCATTGGCCACATGGGCTGGGGCTGATGGGAGTTGTAGTCCAAAACACCTGGAAGGCATCAAGTTGGCAGAGGCTGTCTACAGCTTTTGTACAGCCTTTTATGCTGTAATAGGCTTGTGGACATTTTAATCGTTTTCACAAGAAACGTAAGTTAGAAGTACAGGCATCCTCCCACATACACTGAGGTTACATTCCAGGCCCCCATGCACATAACCGAAATCACATAAAGTGGGGAGCACCTTCTAACAAGCCTCAAAACACCCATTTTTTCCCTGCTGTCCCATTTCCCTCTTCCCCAAAATATCTGGAGTTGAAGCTCTGGGGCCAGCTGGAGGATGTGCGGAAGCAAAGCCCGCTTTTCTTTGCTTTTCTGGAAAGGTTCACAGGCACTTTCCCCCAGGTTGAGAAGCCCTTTTCCTCCAGGCAAACACATCTATCAAACCCTCACATGGTACATAGGCATTCACAGATAGGGGAAACCTTTTCTGTGGTAAGCTGACCATTTTTTGTCCCTATCTGAAATGTTGTGAAACTTGGCTTTCTAACAACATAATACGACACCTGTTTTGTCAGTACCAGTAAGAACAGGTCTGGTGTGGGGGTTTTTTCATTGCATTGTCAGTTTCAGAAGCATTCAAACAACAAGTGGAAAGGATTGTCATGATCTCGGTTTGTAACAACTCCCCCCCCCCCGCCCCCAAACACTGGAAGATGCAGCCATTCCAAATAGCCACTAAAGTACAGCAAATTGTAAGTTCTGACCTGCATATTATTTCTTTGAAACTCAATTCCATTCAAACGCTGAGATGTTTTCTAAGTAAAACAATTCATTTCAGGATGCTAATTTTAAGATATGTGTTAATCAGACAGTGAGGTACTTACCCCAGTAAGTAAAATAGGAGGAAGGGGTTTATTTATGGACTTTTGTCAAACCACAAAGTATATTTCATGAACACCCGCTGGTGTGATCCACACAAAACTATGTCTGAGCCTGCAGCAAGACAGTTCAAAAAGAAGACATTAAAAACAGATGTGGAGGCACCCTAAGACAGAATCAACACTAAATGAGGGTTGGGTTAGCCTTTTACCTGCACCATTTTCCCTACTGAAGTTGTCTTCCGAAGTTGCTATTTTCCAGCTTAAAGGTGGGCAATTTAAATCAGGAAAATGTTGGAAGGAAGGGTTTTTCCTCTCTCCCCCCCTAATGTCTAGACCCTGATCCAATTGCCCACTCCACTGGCCTTTAACATTAAGTAAAAGTGAGATATTCCGATCATGGATTTCCTACATTGCCCCAACCTCATCCCTTAGAAGGATTCAATATGCATTCAGCTTCCAGGTCAACTTGCGTTCTATAAAAGTAAAAAAACAACAACCCAGGTTTCCCCAGCTGCATCTTCCACCAATTACAAGATGGAATTCCCATTCAATCTCACCTAGGGTTAGTTTTAAAAGTTCACTTTGTACAGGAGAGGGACAAAAGTGATCAGGAGAGACCAACCAATCGGATGTAACTGTTTCCCTGTTATGAAAGCCTCTCTGTAAAACACTGAACATGTCTGTTTGTTATGCAGTTTTGCAAAAAAAGCAAACAAATAAATAAATATGCCACTTGATTCATTTTTCAAAGTGTTTAGTTTATATTGAAACTAAATAATACTCTGGCTAGTATAACCTGTAAACTAGTTATTTTGTTTTGTATTCTCTGTAAAAAAAAAAGTGTTTTATATTATACAGTAGATAAGTGAATTGCACTATTGAACATGCAATGCAGCTTTTTTTTTTCTTCTTTTCATTATTCAAGTCGTTCCTGGGAATGTAGTTTCATGCAATAATTTTTTTCAATAAAAATGCTTAATGAGATAAGCAGCGTCAGTCATGCATTTTTAAATATCATACCAAAAGACAGCAGCAAAGTAAGATGCAGATGAGACAAACATATTCTGTATTTCAATCTATAGAACCGAAATGGGTTTAATTTAGACAAGAAGCTGTAATGCTGATTTATTTTAGGCTATTTCTTTAAGAAATTTTTTTAAGCATGTGTTACTAGAGTTGATTCAATGGCTCTATAAATAAATATTACTTTTTTATTTAAAAAATCACCACTGATGTGTTTTTTACAACCATTTTAATGGATTTATCAAATAGTTTATGTACTCATTTAATATTAAATTTAATTGATAACACACAGGGTTTTTTCCTTCAACATTTGAACTAAAGCAGATGTAATCATACGTCACAAGCCAGTTTTACCAACAATGCTTCTTGTGTGCTTTTATATATTATATCCTTCTTGCATGAAAGAAATACTAAATTATCCTACCACAAATTCCCGTGAAAAACTTACTTCCGTATTAATTATCAGAAAAGCATCAGAGAGGACTACCAACTGCTTGAATGCATGCCCTCCAACATTCCTCAGATACAGACATTTCTCACTCCTGCCCCAAAGTCACCCCATTCCCCCCCCCAAAGTAGAGCATTTCCTTTGAGAAAGACAAGTGTCACCCCCACTACACCAACGAGGCACACACACCCTCCACCATCCTGAAAAAAACCCTTAATCCTGTTTTAATTTCATGTTATTCTTAGGTGCATTTACAAAAAGAAAGCACATACCAATAACCAAATTATAGAAAGGGGCAAGATTAGACACGGACACACAAAGCAGTTTTAAAAAGCATCAAGACTCCTTGTCCTCTGCTTTGCTACCCCCCTTTTTTGCCTGCCCCTGAGAGCCAGCACAACATGTGGGGCAAACCTTGGCGGGAGCGGCCTCTCCCACTCCTTGCCACTATGAGCTGCCCAAGGGAGGAGGCCGGCAGCAGTGGCCATGGAGGGGCAATGGGATGCGCCGTTGCTGCTTAGAACAAGCGCTGGCTCATCCTCCTCTCTCAGCTCAGAGGCAGCAGCACCAGCAGGGGAAAAAGAGGTCAAATCAGAAGCTGGGATGGCTTTCATAATTCTGGGACTGTCCCTGGAAAACTGGGACACTTGGTGGGTACGCTTAAAAGTTTAGGAGACCCAATCCTGCAAAGACTTTTGTGCTTGCTTTCTTTGGCACCTGATTGCTCGCAATAAGTTTAGTTTTAAAGCACGAGTGGGGAACTTCAGGCCTGGTAGCAGGATGTGGCCTTCCAGACCTTTCTATCTGAGCCTTGGAACTCTCCATAGGCCACATTCCCTCTGCAGCCACAGCCTTCACTGGCCTTGCTACACATCCACCTTGAGTGCTTTTGCAAAACCTTTCCAGATCAGAGGCTGTGTCTTCCATCATCACTTTATCCTCAGCCACTGCTAGTTTCTTTAGGTCCTAAACAATCCAATAGTGGCTGAGGATAAGGTTGCTTAGTGCAGGGGTGGGTGGGGATGGAGTAATAGTACAGTGATACCTCTGGTTACGAACTTAATTCATCCCAGAGGTCCGTTCTTAACCTGAAACTGTTCTTAACCTGAGGTACGACTTTAGCTAATGGGGCCTCCCGCTGTCTCCGTGCCGCCAGCATGCAATTTCTGTTCTCATCCTGAGGTAAAGTTCTTAACCCGAGGTACTACTTCCGGGTTAGCGGAGTCTGTAACCCAAAGTGTTTGTAACCCGAGGTTCCACTGTAATTTAACACCTCTGGGACTTAAAACTACTTTTAGCTGCTTATGAACAAACACTGGGATTGCGTCTGTTGTGCACACCCTACCACCTGACACCACAACGATACTATGACTAAGATGTAAAAGCCTCAGATCAGAGATCAAGATGCAGTGTCTGGCAGTCCTTCAGTTTATCTGTGCCTCCATTTCTGTGTGCACATCTAAAACTAGATGACATGTTAAATCAATATTTCATTCCCCCAAACCTCTGAACCTTTCAGAGCAAATGCATTTGCCATTTGCAATATAATAAATTATATTTGCTTATTAATTTTTTATTAATGAAAACAGTTCCATACATAGTAAGTGATATGTGTAAATCAATGATGTCCATAAGGAAATAAGTATGGGCAAACCAATTCACTGAATACCAACTGAGTCTATTTCCCTCAAATAAAATCAACTATGTCCTAAAGTTGTCAAACCATTCACTGGAATATTGTGGTTTCCAGAGTCATCCTGTGCTAAGAAAGGCATGCTGAAGTCCGCTGAAATTAAGGGTATTATGAATGCCCAACTTCACCTATGTAAAGTTGCTGCACCTTGCTGCATTTGGTGTTGTTCTGAAAGCCTTTTGAGAGCTAAATTCTGAAGAAGAAATGTAGTTGAAAAGACTTCCTTTTTCTATCGAGCTGGAATCACCCTACTGGATCTGACTTCTGTAATTTTGAAAAACAGCTGGGCATTTTTTTTAAAGGCTCTATTTGATGACACTCCTTGTGCAGAACTCATATGGCAACAACACCTGGAACTACTGGAAAAATTGACATCTCCCATCTCAATTTGTTCTTGCCTTTCTGAATAAACCAAGTGGCTACTGTCATAAGCTATTTAACTCGTGATCTGTGTATTGATGCTATATAGGATGAACCGTCAGAACAACTGTTTGGAATATCTTCCCTGGCACTGAAGTATTCTAAAGCTCTGGACTGACTCTGCCACGGGGCACTCCTGCATAAGAAGGACTATCAGTGCCGGATTTACATATAAGCTAAACAAGCTATAGCTTAGGCCCCCACTCTCTTGGGGGCCCCAAAAAAATGTATAGGGGGAAAAACTGGATGTACATTTCCAAAATATAAGATAAAAAAACAAAATAAAACCTACATACAGTTAGAGCTTAATAATTATTTCACTATTAATATACTTCTTCTTAATTGTATTTTACTATTAATATACTTCTTAACTGTATTTCAATTCAACAATTACTTTGATAACATACATATTTTGTTATGTGCAAATGGCTTTAGATACCTAATAGGTCCATAAATTACCATATTGCATATATTCAACACAAAAAAACAGTGACAATTTGTTGTTGACAAAGGACAGCTGGACATATAAAGGGCCCCATTATCTTCAGTAGCTTAGAGCCTCATCAAACCTAAATCTGGCCCAGGGGACTATGAAACACTTCCTGTTTGGGCAGAGACATTGCCTGAGCAACATCCTGCCTGGCTAGGGAAAGTTTCTGTTCTTAGTCCCTGGCTTTTGACAATAGGGCTAGGGGGCGATCCAGGGATGCTCGCAGCTGGCCGGCTCTCCATAAACTGGGCAAGGTGAAGCGGGCAGGGGCTGGAGCCTGGGGGGCTGCCCACTCCCCTCCCAGGGATGGCATCTTTGGTGCGGGTTGGCGCCACGGGGCTTCTCTCCCCCCCCCCGGTGGTCCATTCTTTTGCATTCCCTGCTGTTGCTTTGGATCGTACCACCTGACCTTACTATGCTATTGGGAGTGAGGGCTTGGGGATACTGACACGAAGTCAGCTTTGATTTGGGGCAGCTGTGGGGAGCGGGGGAGGGGAGCCTGTGGCGCTGGTCCACACTGAGAGTGTTGTTTTGGGGAGGGGGAGGGGGGCTCCTCCAGCTCCGACACCCACCTGCGGGCGTCCCTGGGTCGCTCCCAGCTCCAGTGGCTGTGATCCCGGGACCTCCAGGGGACAGGCTGTGCTTCCCGCCAGGCGCTTTGTCACCCCCCTCTGTGATGGCGCATGGGGCGGCCTGCGCCCACTGCACCCACCTTGCTCTGCCCCTGCTTATGCCACCTTTGTGTACACTGCCTGCCAAACAATAACATGAACCAAGTGTCGACAAACCACAATTAACAGGCATTTGCCTCTTCCGACTTACCACTTACCTGTTTAATCCCTCACGCCGCGCCTTGTCTGACGTCTCTTGTTTTCATTGTTCTGTATGGAAATTAAAAGGTATAAATGTAAGAATCTTCTTTTGTTCTGGGTTCCCCTCCATCGCCTGTTTGTTACGTGAGGGGGAACACTGTTGCCAACCGTCTTTATTTTGTAATAAAGATCAGGCTTATAGCCACTTTGCTTTTCATCAAACAAACAAACACTAACTGATCCTGTTAGCAGAAGCCCACACAATGATTGCTACTAGTCAGGCATAGCCAAACTTGGCCCTCTAGCTGTTTTGGGACTACAGTTCCCATCATCCCTGACCACTGGTCCTGTTAGCTAGGGATGATGGGAGTTGTAGTCCCAAAACAGCTGGAGGGCCAAGTTTGGCCATGCTTGTATGAGGCTTCCCTCCCTTCTCCTAGTCCCCCCTCCATTGGCTGGAGGGGGGTCAGGAGTCCTTTAAGAGCAGCATGCAGTGGGGAGTGAATGGGAGATAGCACATACATTTCTGCTTGCCCTGTGAAACTCTCAGAACATTTGTAACAACACAATGCTGTATTCCTTCCTCTGTGACTTTCACCATCACTATACAAAGAAGTACCAGAGCCAAACATAACTGGGTCTCCTGAAAGATGCATCAAGTGATGGACTCCAATGGCACCAAGATTTTCAAAAATGTACAGAGCCATATGCTGGATCTATGTGGGCAATATGGATCTGACCACATGATATAGAAATACACTCTTGATGGTGTCAGGAAAGGAGAACACAGCATTCTTCTGAACGCTGCGGCAGATTTGGTTTATATAACTTGCACTGCTCTGAGATTTGTCATGGAAGAATGTCTAGCTTATATAAACAATGACTACCTAGATAGAAATTATTCATGGGGAAAACCAAATTTCTCTAACTCTCCCTTCACGTTCCTTCTTGATCTATGAGTAAGCAGGACAGAATTGCCAAATGTAACTGTCACATCTGGCTGCTTGTCTCATTGCTTTGAATCATACTCCTCTCCAGCAGCTCTAAAGGCACAGGAGTTACTGGTGTATTGGTATATTAACTAAGGAATAAGCTGCACAGGAACACATGTCAGGGAATCAGCTCAGGCTGCATTTTCACATCCAAGAAAACGGGTTATGCAAGTGAGATGGTGCTTGAGGAGTCTGAGCTTAAAGCCAGGCTATATTATTCATGAAAGCCTGTCCATTTTGTAAGTCACCACACAACACAAATCAGTAGCAGCATATGTGGCAATGCAGAACTGCCCTCCTGAACCCGCTTCGGGGGGGGGGCATTAAAAAAAGGGGAGAAGTTCAATTCAATTCACATTTAAAGGCAAACCTATCCTTTCTGTACTTTCTAAAAAAGTATGAGAACCAAAACTCCACTGTCCTTTTGACATATATTGTGGTAAGCTATCCATTAAAATGCAGGAAAAAATGTGAAAATAACATACAATAATGCATTGTTTCTGGGGAAATTGTTTTGCAAAACTGGGTATACCAGGCAAGATTGCAAAGGTGTACATTAAGAAACATTTGCAATAGAGAGCTGATGGATTGTCATGAGGACTTTAAAAAATGCAAACTGATACAGGAGTGTGGATAAATGAATTTAAGATTTGAAAGGAGAGAAACTGAAATTAGCAGATTTGCTAATCCCTCGGTGGCAGTGATTGGCTACGGTACCCGCACTGGCGGGAGTTCCAGCTTAGAGGAAATGGCGTCACCTGTGCAACTGTCTGGTCCTGACCTGGTGTCCCAACCTGCCCCATCTCCATCTAGGTAAGCCACAGTGATGCTACCTTCACAAGGGCAGTTCTGCACTGCTACTGAACATGACAGGATTTAGTATGATGCTAAAGAAGCTTATCAGGGCTTTTTTTTAAAGGGCCTTGGCCATCAAGATCACCGTTGCCTTCATCTGCAAGACAAGCCCATCCATCTTTCCCTGTATCATTCCACATACCCGGTCCATGATGTGAAACCATAATAGAGCACACAGTTTAAGGTAGCTGCAGAGGAAATGCCTCAGCCTAGTGCCAGATGCCTCAGCTTAAGTGAGAGAATCTCCATATTGCAAGAGAAGAAAATCTCAAAACCACCACCAGAAAAATGATTGCAAGTCAGTATTCCAGGATAACTCATTGGGACTTACTTCTGCACAGAAGTGTCTAGGATAGGGGATCGTTTTATTTTCATGGCAACATCATTCCATTTCTAACAACATCAAATCCAGCTTGCAACTGGAAATATAAGCAACTCGGTTTTCTTTCTGTTGTCTATAATTTTGTTGTTTGAGGTTGCTTTTTGTCTTATCAATTTGCCCTTTCCACTATCCTCAATAGGGGAAATGGTCTTGATATAATTCTTAATACACTCTAATGCACTCTAATGTTAGCATCAAACTATTATTTCAGAGCGCTTTAAAATAAAACCCCCACCTTGTCCTGTTTTAAAGGTCCTTTTAGCCTATTTCCTTTTCTTTCAACACCCATACTAGGTAAGAGAAGACAGTGACTGTAAATAGAACCAGGCATTTCAAAGTACGTTCCCCACCTGTTCAGTCACTAACAAGTTGGATCATCAAGCATTCTGCTCTTTCCTTTCCATTTTGCTCATTTGGATTTAAAAAGAAGATAAAAATACTCATTTTGGGTCATTTCCCAAAGATAAGCGTTTTAGAGACACAATGCACATTAAGGTCAATAGGACTTGCATGATTAGATAGACCATGTCTATAAACTACAAGTCTTTGGACGTAGTCCAGGTGGTTTTTAATCTAGCATTCTTGCCATAAAGTGTTGTGGTACCAAGAGGGGGAGTAGCCTAGCTGAGAAAGTACTAGATGTGGGCATGAGAGATGAGGGCTCAAATTCCCACATCTCCTAACTACAAAGCAATTGTGATATACATAACAGGAAGGCCCTTTACAAGTTAAACATTCTATGTTTGTACTATGTAGGGCAGAATGAATATGGCCTCCACTTTAACATTTCCATCTATTTTCAGGGAGTTGTACTGAAATCTGAACCAAGGGAGTACGACTTCACTGGTGCTCCTCCTGGCAATTCAGGCTGATGGTCGTCATTTTAGGGTTGCTTAACTACAGTTACCGTATTTTTTGCTCTATAAGACTCACCTTTTCCCTCCTAAAAAGTAAGGGGAAATGTGTGTGCGTCTTATGGAGCGAATGCAAGCTGCACGGCTATCCCAGAAGCCAGAACAGCAAGACGGATCGCTGCTTTCACTGCGCAGCGATCCCTCTTGCTGTTCTGGCTTCTGAGATTCAGAATATTTTTTTTCTTGTTTTCCTCCTCCAAAAACTAGGTGCGTCTTGTGGTCTGGTGCGTCTTATAGAGCGAAAAATACGGTAATTTACAATGAAAGCATAAGCTTCTAATCTTTTCCTTAAAGTCTTGCTAGACAGAAGAAACATAGGAAGCTGCTTTGTATCAATTCAGACCAATGAACTGTCCAACTCATTGGCAGCAGCTCTGCAGTATCAGAAAAGGAAGTCCTTTCTCAGTCCTATCTGAGCCTGCTGGGGATTGAACCTGGGACTTCCTGTGTACAAGACAAATGCTCCACCCCTGAACTACAGCCCTTCCCTGTGAAATGACAGAGGAAGAGGGAGTGTGCATGTCCAAGGTTTCCTGTGGCTCACTCCTGTCATGATGAACCATGGTTTACTGTGATGGCTGAAATGGCCCTAAGTACTGACAGTGGGAGAAGACATCAAAGGAAGAGGATGAAAGTTATGAAAGGAAGAAAAACCAAAGCTGGATGCTTTGTTCTGGATCGTGATAAAGTCTAAGGGGTTAACTGAAAAATCCATTTTTAACTCTAGCCTATGAATGAAGGCTTCTCTGCAAAACAGTTGAAAGACATTTCTCTGCCAAGAATCCTTCTAAATTAGCAGTTTGAGAGACAGCTTCACTGTCAAGGTTTCTCAGTATTTATGGCAGCTAAACCATGCTGTACTTTAATAGATATACAAATCCTCTTGTGCCAAGAGGTCATCGAAATGCTACTTGAGGGTGCTACTGGAATATTATTATGGTTTGTTCCTGCAAAAGCTCAGAAATCATACAAATAGTGCCCATAGCACTTCTCATAGTTTCATATCAACTGTCTCTAAATCGCCAACCATTACAAATACTGTCAGGTTTAATGGATGGGTGTCTTGGGAGAGGAATGACACACATTTGCCGTCTTAGAGACAAGTCTCCTTTAAAGGTTTTCATTATGAGCTTGCACGCACCAGAGAGGTCTTGCCTTGATGGGCTCTCCCTTGTATTTGCTTCAGTGGAGAAGAGACCAGCTCCCTCATTGATTCTTCCACTTGAGAAAAAAGGCAGATGGAATGGATGGGCACTTGAGGATTTGAATCTCTGAACAATGACTCTTTGAAACACAGATTGGTGGAACAGGAAACTTACTGAAGCAAAGAAAAAAGGTTCAGGTGGACTAATGCTGGAAGCCTTTAGCCCTTAGCAGTTCAGGCTGACTCATCTCATGCTGTTTTCCTTAAATAGTGAATAGAACTCTATCTGTAGTTCCTATTTCTGCCTATCTGTACTGCCTTGTCACTCTCTTACGCCACGTCCTCTTTCTGTTTCTTAACCTCATCCCTTTTCCTTCTTCTTTCTTTCTTACTTTCTTTTGCATCCACCCTCCTGAATGCTATCACACATCTGTTCTAGTTTCTCGAAAGTCCGTTGGTAAACAGATTGTCCTCCCCAAATAAAACCAGATGCTCCTTTGTCTTAAATTATCTAGCCTTTCAGCATCCCTATAACTCATTCGGGCTTTGCCAGATGTCTCCTAGGAAAATGTCATTGGAGCTATATACGAATATCAGAAGCTACTTTATGCCATCGTCCATCCTGCTCAGCATTGTCTACACCTGCCTTCTCCTGTCTTGTTTGGACTACAGCTCCTATCAGTTCCCCAGCCAGCAAGGTCAGTGGTCGGAGATGATGGCAGTCCAAAATATCTGGAGGTCATCAGGCTGGGGAAGTCTGGTTTACAATGTCTGGCAGTCAGTTTTCTGGGTTCTGTGTAGCACTATCTGCATTTGCATGTCATGCATGTACTGAACCAATGAGCTATGCTCCTTCCCCTAAGTATCCACACCTCCTTACCCCAAGATAATAATTAAAAAAAACCACAGCACCCTTTTGGCTATATATTTATGGAAGAAAAAAATGAAGCTAAAGCCTGGAGACATCACAACAATAGGGACGTGTTTGTTTATACTATGTGGAAATGTGCTTCGGTGCAATTTGAGAAATATACCACTTCTTTTTGGGGTTATACGGACAAATTCAAACTGTTCAACCAACTAGGTCAGTACTGCCTTCACCAGCAGCTTCATAGAATTGTGGAGTTGGAAGGGATCCCAAGGGCCATCTAGTCCAACCCCCTGCAGTGCAAGAGTCATGACTCCTTCCCGGCCCTAACCTGAAGAGGCAAGGGATTTGTTTATTTTTAGACTATATATATCTCCTCTAAGTGGTGCACAAAAAACTAAACCAACAACGGACAACTTAAAGAATAACAAACATTACAAAATGCACAAATATACAAGTGTTACTTTAAGAGAAATTGCTAACACACGTACAGCAATATCACTGCCTTCTCCTTCCGATACACCTCCCCTCTTGGTCTCTTGACTCTCACCTGGGACTTTGTGCAGCCATGCTGCCTCTCACTCACCCAGGGCCAAAATCATCTCAGAAATCTCATAAGCAAGAAGGATGCTGGATGCTGGCATTGCCTTGGTTTCTTCAATCTTGACTTACATTTGATGGGCAGGCACCAAAGCAGATGGAGCTACCCACGTTTAAGATACCCTCAGGCTACTCACATTTCAGCGGTGCCTTGTGCAAGGCCAAAATGCAGCACACATCCCTCTCCAATGCTGAGATCGCTTGCAGCCCCACCCCGAGTCAAGCCCCTGGAAGTTAGCTCCTATGCCCCTCCACTCACCCTTCCTTCTCTCCTCCTTCAGCTGCTTTGTCCCCAGGACCTTTGGGATGCATTGCATGCGAGCTGAACGCTAACTAAACTACAGCTTCTCCCCTATGTGTAAAAAGACACAGTTGGGTATGAAATTCTGCCGCACCCTCTTATTGTGACATTGTTGTGCCATCTGGGTTCTCGTGTGAAGAACACGCGTAAGAAATCAGCTGCAAACCTGCTGTCTCTCAGTAAGAAATTTGTCGACTAAGGCTTAGAAACAGACTTGATATTTGGAAATGTAGTGCATGAAACCTGATACTGATGAGTAAGCGAACTGCATATAAACATTGCCAGGAAAGGAGATGCAATACAAATGAGAAATGTCTGCAGCATTATAACCATTTATCCTTTAATGCAGAGATGACTTGAACCTGTGACATTCCAGATATTCTTGGACTGCAGCTCCCATCAGCCCTTATCACTGGCTATGCTGCCTGGGGCTGGGGGTCCCACAACATCAGGAGGCCCCTCCCTGTTTTGCTTGGGAATAAATCTACATCTTAAGAAGAGAAGTGTGGCCATTAATCAGAGTTTCTGTACTTGTTACATGCTTATTACTACAGTGTTGTTGCTGTTATTATTGCAGCTTGCTTAACATTAGCCAGGTTTCAAGCAGGACTAAAATTCTTGCCATGGGCTTACTCTCAAAGTTCTCCAGAAGAACATACTACCCCTCTCCTCTGATATTCATTTTTTAAAAAAAACCACACCTGTCTAGTACATTTCAAAGACGGCTTCAGTAAGGTAAGTGAAACCTAGATAACTAAAGGCTATGGATAAACACCATTCAAGTCACAGCATCTTAAAACCACAGCATTTGAAATAAAACACCACGTGCATTATTATTTTTACATATGTCTCCCTCACCTCTCTCCATATGAATTGACCCAGACTTTGAGATCATCCTCTGAGGCCCTTCTTCATGTACCTCCTCCACAAGAGGCCCAGAGGGTGGCAACATGAGAACAGGCCTTTTCTGCAGTGGCCCCCCCGTTTGTGGAATGCTCTTCCTAGGGAGCTTCAACTGACACTTTCATTATAGGCCTTTAGGCACCAAGTAAAAACATTCCTCTTCAACCAGGCCTTTGGCTGGATTATGTATTTTCTGTATCCTTATAAATGAGTCTGTGGGATGTGGTGGTGGGGAGGGGGTGCCATTGGTTTGGTTTGATCTTGTTTTTGTTTTTATTATGTATTTTGTATTTATATATTGTATTTTTATGTTGTGAACTGCCCTGAGATCTACAGATGAAGGGCGGTATACACATTAAATAAACAAAATGCTGTATACCCTTTCATCTATACAGGATAATTTTTGGGGTTTTTTAAAGAAGTCGATAGTACCGTGCATCTAAGTAGTTTCATTCAGCAGTTGGGTGGTGAAATAGAGGTGTTTGAGTCTGCACTTCATAGTAAAAATTCTCCCTTCTGCTAATAAATAAAATAAAATAAACCCACCAGTTTCCTTTAAATGAAATCTCTAGCTCTGAAACATATAACTAAATGTACTAGATTTAAAAGGAAGGGAAGAGAATGGGTTGAATATATATTAAAAACTATGTCCCAGCAGTGAGGCATAATGGACTGTGGAATAATTTCCCTGGGGAGAATTCGGAGGTGGGGTGGGAGACAGAGATGCACTCAAGAATCTAGTGCAGACTGGAGAATACTTAGTTTTATAGTCCCTAGCTAGGGGAAGAGTAATAAAGAGGCAGGGGAGTTTTGCCTTGGGCAGCCCAGGCCTATGCTCATACATTAGCAGTTGTTCCTGCAGAATTGATATTAGACAAGTAGACCGTCCAACTCTGCCCTACTTGGCTTTTTAAAAGCCAGAAAAATCCTTTTATTTCTCTCTTTTTATGGTGCAACATTCCATCACTGCTGGAGCAGGAAGGATTGCTGAGATAGTCCTTAGGATGCTAAAGACAGCTGATTATTCCATATCCCTCTCCAGCCCACAAAGTGTCAATGGAATTTAGTCCCAGTTCTGTTCCCCAAGCAATGGAAAAATTATCCACATATTAGAATTTCAGGTAGCTCCTCTATACACTGTTACGCCTTCAATATTAGTTCTTTCTCACTTCAGCTAAAGGCTTCAGGTGTCTCCATGCATGCGGTTTCATTTGTGGGCATAATGTGGCATGGTATTGGCCGTAAGGGTGGATTAACTATGAAGACACAGCAGCATTTTCTTCTCACTGCATCATAGGCTATGAAGTCCTAATGAAGCATAATAAGCAAAAACCATTAGTGCTCATCCAGCATCCCTATCAAAAAGAAAGATAGTGTGGTGTTGTTTTTCTAAGTCAAGAAACAGAATATGAAATAATTGTTGTGTTTGAAAAACCTCTGATGTTTGTGGGTGTGGGTGTGCTCCCATAGCAGCATCTAAGCGACTGGTCAGCAACAGGTTAGCACAAAGTTAATGCAAAGCATTGCAGCATCTCTGTGCTATGTGGGCAGGAGCCACCGATTCCCCATGCATAATTTACAGCTGGCTGCGCGGATTCTACCAAATCTGGAGTCTTTGAAAAGTTAATGAGGACATTCTGGGCTAGGCTACGTTGGGGATCTCCAAAGTTCTGAGCCGAGCTGCTGACTGCATTTCCTTTCCTCCGAATGCCATCAAAGTGGTGCGTCTCTAAATTAGTCAATACACAAGAGAGGAAGCCAAAAGGAAAACAAGGACGGTTTGTGCCTTTATGCAATGCTCAGGTACAGTTAGAGACAGGTCTCCTTTCAGGATGTGAGCATACTGCTTGAGCAAAAATTAACTGCATTTTTTAAAACCCATACCCACAGAAGCATATAATGTGAATCTGGCTGCTTCATGCTATGGGACCAGAACTTTTTTTTTTTTGCTTGTGCTCATAGACAACCCTTCTGCAAATGGTTCCAGGATAGATTACAAAATACAAAATCTATAAATGCAACTTAATAATGTGGTTCTTGGTGGATCAACCAGATATAGATACAAGTGGGCCACTTAGGCCATATCTATGGGCCTTGATAGTTGAAGTGGGCAGACTTGATCCTCCCCTAAAAACCACAACTGGTAGACATGTTGTTGCTTTCCCTCTTCCTTAGCTGGTTAAAAATTAAGCAGCCAGAGACTACATTTCAAATGTAAAGTATGGACACACCCATGGTCTTTGACATGCACCCCCAAAAATGTAAAGCAGAAATGTAACAAAGTTTGGGGTGGGAGGGGGACAAAGAATCCTACAGAAACAAGTCAGGCCACAATCCTGGCCTATCCTTATCTGGACATAGACTTCACTGAACTCAGTGGGAATTGCTTCTGATCAGACCTGGAGAGAAATGGGCGGTCCATAGAGAATCGGGGTTAGCTACAGCTCCTGATGAGAGTATACTAGTTCACAATTTCAGAAACAATGTATGAACCAACCAACACACAGCCATCTTTTGAAAATTGCCACATCTCCAAATTTTGAAATGCAGTTCTCCAGACAAGCAATGTATACAAAAATGCATATACTGGAATAAAGTGTGCATATAAATTCATAAGTTAGCGAAAATAACATACGAACCCGCATCACACTAGGGAAGATTGTTTTGCAAAAATGTGTATATTAAGGGGAAATGTTACCATTAAAATACTGGTGAATTCCCATGATTAAAAATAATAATAATCTGCAAACTAATGTGGAAATGTGGAGAAGTGAATTTAAGATTGGAAAAATCAAAAACCAATAGAAACTAGAATCGACAGATTTAAGCATCCCTAGTGCAGCTGTGCAATGTTCAAACTGGCCCCACGGACATCAGTAATGTTCCTTCCTTCGCTCCCCTGTTGCCTGTCTCCTTCCTCTACTCACAGTCCTCCTCAAGGCTCTGAAATTAATTTTTAAATCTTAACCTTCATTCCGATTACGAATGGCCTTACCGAAGCACAGGTATTAATAATGACGTGAGCGCAGAGAGGGCATATTTCATTTTCTCCTGCAAACCTTGCAAAAACAGCAGCAAACAATTGTTGGCTTTTGTAGATATTGCTTGCCATCCAGAAAGCATTTCCTGAAATCAAAAGCTGGCATGGCATCAAGGGCGAAAATAATCTTCCCTTAATCAATACAGTGTGACAAGCTAACTTCAGTGGCAGCAACAATCCCCCAAGCCCGTCCTCCAAACAAACAGCAGCTTCTCTCTAGGGTTTTCCACCGTATATAATTGCTTCTCCCAGAACAGAAACCTCTAGAGATGGTTCGTTTTATCTATTGTATACACAGCTAAATAGGCTTATGTCACTTTTCTCTACAAAGCGATAAAGCTATGTTTAAATTCATTTAGACTAATGCCATAGCAGGCAGATATGTTGCAGCAATCATACTTTTAAATAAAGGCAAGGCTCACTAAAGGCTTGTGACAGCTTTCTGCAGCTAATCCCAATTATAGCAACATTTCCCTTACTTCTGGTGTGTGACAATTCCATAGGGAACATGTAGATTGTATGGATTGGGATTAAAAGAAATCAAGACTGTCAAAACCACTCACAGTAACTTGGATAGGTTTTGCCCTTTACCAAATCAGGCATCAATTTTTCAATGACTCCCACATGTGCGATTCTCAGTTTTTGAAAGCTAATTTTTGCCGGGCCGCCTCATGGCATTATGTTATGTCGCCAGGATTGATGTGATTGGTCAACACCTGACACCCTGAAAAATCAGTGCCTGTTCAAGTACAGCAGGTATAAGGACCCTATGGCCTTCAGATGCTGTTGGACTACAACACCCATCATCTCTGACCATTGGCTATGCTGGCTGGCAATGATGGGAGTTGGAGTGTGACAGCATCTGGAGAGCCACAGGTTCCCTGTCCATAGCATAGATCAGTGTTTCCCAAACTTGGATTTTTGGACTACAACTCCCATCATCCCAGCTCGAAAGGCTAGTGGCCAGGGATGATAGGAATTGTAGTCCAAAAGCAGCTGGAGACCCAAGTTTGGGAAACACTAGCATATACAATACTGAGTTTAAAGGGCCAATAGTCTGACTTGATGTAAGGCAGCTTCCATGCCAAGCCCTGCGCAGAAGTGATGCTGAAACGATGCAGATCTGAGTCTCATCAGCATCCTTATGAAAAACTATCTGGGACTCCCAGGTATGTCACCTTGATTTTCACGGTGGGAAAAAGGTGAGATATAAACTGAAACAAAAAACACAGTCCGTTTGAAATGGCAGGATGATCACCGAAGCACACAAATGAAGCAAATGGTTCAAAGACATTTTTGATAGCAGTTTATCTTCATGGCAACTTGGATTTCCAGTACCATTAAATTAATTGTCCTGAACAAGGGAGCAGATACATTTGCCAGGCTGGCATGTGAAGCTGCTCCTTATCCCTGACAGGGCCCACCATCACTTGACACCTGCACTAGGCTCACCAGTTTAAGCAGCTGGGTTGACAAAGCAACTTTATAATTTCCCACAAGTGATGCTACATTGATGGCCATTGTGGCCAATTAAAATGGCAGCTTACCTACCCACCCCTTGAAGTGCTGTGTTGCCTCCACCACCAAGTAAACCTGAGGGCTCCTCATCATTGTCTCAAATTATAATAGGGGCAATTGGGCTGTTGATTATGGATTCTAAGAACAGCAGGCTAAGTCCACCAGGACTACTACTAGCAGGGGTATGCTGTGTTTGTCACATGCAGCACTGTTTCCCTTCCATTGCAGTTCATCTTCTACCATCTTTCACTGTTTGGGGTGGCAAAATTATGCAAACTACATTACTTCTGCTGTCATTATGCTATTCCAGCTCCCCTATTTCAGTGCAAAAAAAAATGCAATGCAAAAGATGGGACCGAACATAAATCAGTTAAATATTGTTTGCAGACTGAAAGCAAAAACAACAGTGAATACCCATCACATTCATTGGATTGAATTCCACTCTTGGCACAGGATGAATAAGCAAACATCAGTGATTTCTGCTCCCATTGGAATTCTCCTGTTCATAAGCAGAGCCCCAACCTCATTGCCACACAGCCCTCTCTGCTTGGTATGTGGGAGGGACTCTACTGCTGGGAGGCTATTGTTGTCCCACCAGATGAGCCTCTCTTGGGCAGTGGGAGAGGAGAAGAGGGGTGGGGAGACAAGGCGGTGGAGTCCTCTATCATGGCTAATAGCCATGGAGCAATCTCTACTCAGTCCAATCTCATTTTAAAGCCATCAGTGCTCATGGCCGCCCTCGCATCCTGGGGCTGTGAATTTCACAAATGAATTATACAAGTCCTTCTTCAGTGCAAGGTGTGGAGGAGATCAATAATTAATATTGTGCTCTGGAGATTGCTCTGTCATATAAAGTTAATATATTTATGGAATCCATTGTAAATAGCCACTAGCATAGCTGGCTGTGGCATCTAGGAATTGCTTCCAGGTTGTTCCAGGCAAAGAAGCTTTAAAAGCTGGCAATTTTAGGAACTCAGATGATTCCCATAGGGGGGTCACTAGATGGGATAATTAGTTTTGTGTGTGTGTGAACAGTTTAGATTGTGTCCTTAGTCTACCTTAGATGGAAGGCTTGTCATTATTTACAGACAGCACGCACATGCACGCACACACACACACACACACACACACACACCTTTCTAAAGAGCTACTCACCAGTGTCAACAGACCACACAACAATCACACAGGAATTCTGCAACAAATCTAGATTCCAACTAAATTCCTTTATCTGCTTGGGAAATGCTATTGCAGGACCTGTAAAGTGATGTAAGCCAAGCATCGGGGGGGGGGGGCATCTTATTTTCATTTTCATTTTTACCTGCCTTTCATCAGAAGGTCCCAGAATGGGTTACAGCAATATATAACACATATCATTAAAAATAAAATAAAAAATTGTGCAGTAGCACCTTAGAGACCAACTAAGTTTGTTCTGGGTATAAGCATGCACATGGAAGCTTTTACCCAGAACAAACTTAGTTGGTCTCTAAGCTGCTACTGGAGGGACGCGGGTGGCACTGTGGTCTAAACCACTGAGCCTGGGGCTTGCCGATCAGAAGGTTGGCGGTTCGAATCCCCGCGACGGGGTGAGCTCCCGTTGCTCAGTCCCAGCTCCTGCCAACCTAGCAGTTTGAAAGCACATCAAAGTGCAAGTAGATAAATAGGTACCGCTCTGGCGGGAACGTAAACAGCATTTCCGTGCGCTGCTCTGGTTCGCCAGAAGCGGCTTAGTCATGCTGGCCACATGACCCAGAAAAACTGTCTGCGGACAAACGTCAGCTCCCTCGGCCAGTAAAGCAAGATGAGTGCCACAACCCCAGAGTCGTTCGCGACTGGACTTAACTGTCAGGGGTCCTTTACCCTTTTTAAGGTGCTACTGGACATTCATTCATTCATTCATTCATTTAGACTGTGTCAGACCAACACGGCTACCTACCTGAATCTAGAATAATTTAAAATAGTTTAAAACAAGGCATTATCATCCATCAAGAGTGCCTCTCTGCATTCTGTATAGGACTAGCACGCCATTCTCTAAACATAAGAGTAAATAGACAGAAACCAGGTATCAGAAAGCACAATATTCAGAAACTAGTAGGTGAACATTTCAACCTGAGACTAACTGATCTTAAAGCAGCCATTAAAAAATATATATATTTAACTTTTTCCATAAAAAGCACAAACAACAAAGTAGGTACAAAATCACCAGAGTGACATACAAAACTTCTTAATCATTTGAAATGCAACTCCTGACAGAACTATGATATTGAAAATGTTTTGCTTGGGTTCTGTCATTCGATAAAAGGCATCAATATGCAATGGATTTAGGAGTGGATTCTGGGTGCTCACAAGAAACAATGGCTAAATAAAATTAATGAGATTGTGTAGGGATGTATAAATATGTTAATTTCAGTTTCCCATTTTTTCCAATCTTAAATTCAAGTTACCACATTTCCATATCAGTTGGCAAATTTCTGTTAAAACATCCTCAAGAAAATCCATCATCATTTCAGGACAGTTTCTCCTAATATACACATTTTGCCAACAATCTTCCCTAATATGCACATTTTGTCAACAAATTTCCCTGATATAGAATACATTTTTGTATATTGTTTTTACTAATATATTCATTCTTACGCACACTTTCCCATAATTCACACTTTTTTGTTCAGAAAACTGCATTGCCATTAAAAAAAAAGAAAAGAAAAATCCTGCATATTTTGAGGAAAGCTACATTTTGGTTTGCATATTGTTCCAGGAAGCGCAGAACAGGTAGGCTTCCCATAGGCATTGTGTTGGCCACTGTGAGAAAGGCCCTAGGTGGGCTTTTGGTCTGAACCAGCAGGGATTCTGCTTATGTTCTCAGGTTTGTGTTAAAATGTGAAGCAAATTGAATTTCTCTTTCATCCCTGGCTATGTGGCAATGAACGTGTGTGTGCCAACGTGGAGAGATACCCTGGAAGCAACAAATATCCAAAGTATCTTGATTGTGACAGGAATGTATTGCCTGACAGACGACAGAAAAAGGAATTAACCAGCAGAACTCTGCTGGGAGTTGAGGCAATCGAATTCCCTCAGGTTGAAAGATATATAGAGATGTTGTAACAGGAAATCAGGCAGTTTAGAAAAATCCATTTTGGAGAAATAATGTTTGCTTCTTCAGAAGCTCTCTCTAGGGTTATGAAGGACAAGGTCTAAACATTAAGAAAGGATGGATCTTCCTCGCCGGCCTTTGCAACTTCAAAAGGGGACTGAATACTTTCCTGGGGAAAAGTTGGTCAGCTCTTTACGAAAACATCAAGGAGACGACAATAGCTAAGGATTTCAACCATATTTGCCATGATAATGTAAAGCTGGACTGCATAGCCATGCCTGCTACTATATCCAGTCCACAGGGAGTTCCATTATTTTCCTACAGAGTTTTGTATATACTAAGGGAAGTGCAAGCATTGGCATCCCACAAATATATTTATTGGGGCTGGTGATATTTAACTTAGGGCGGAGACAAACAGATATTCTAAGGGTCCCAGGACAGGGTCAGAAGGCACAAGATCTGTTGGGGACCCAAATAACTGAGTTGGCTTGGAACCCAAATATCTATAAAAGTGCACTTCTTCCCATATCCCTCTGCCCATGTTTAAAGATATTCTGCAGAGGCCCATCACCAGGTGCATTCTTTATCAGAGGTATAGTAGCCCACAAAGAAGGAAAATAATTTCTTAGCAGTGGTGCCCCAGTCTATGGATTAGATTCGTCAAACAGACTCACCAGCCTCCTGCGCTGCAGTCTTTCTGGGACCAGACAATTCACCCAAGTGATTTAATTATTTGTAAAATTTTAATTGTTTTAATGTTGCTGGCTATGGTTTTATGACTATACTTGTCTTGTGATACAATTGACAGTATACGACCCTGAAATCCTAAATAGACTGGTGGGATATATTTTTGTCAGGAGACAGGAGTTGTTGCTGCCTCTCATGTCATTCCTCTCCCTGCTAGCTCAAATGAAGGCACAGGTGAGGCAGAGGAGATAGGATGGGATGGCAGCAGCAGCTGTGTATAATTACCCAGATACAACAGGGAGGAGGGAGAGAGAGGGGAGAAAAGAGAGAGAACAGGAGAATATATGAAGGAAACCACTACAACAGAAACCATCTGTGGCTCTAGATAGGCCAATCTACATGAAGGGAAATAGGCTAGCTTGCAGATTCAGTGATGAGAAGGGTACCTAAGTCCAACAAGTGAAGGTCCCACCTGGTGGTCTCTGACGAAGAGACTATCTACAGCTCTGAGGAACATTGGCCTTGGAGAGCACTAGTACTAAGCAGCTTTGGATCTGGTCAGTTGTTGGATGGGAGGCCATCTTGGCTTCTTCAAGTTTCTAATTGTGGTGAAAGAAGTTTGAATACATCTCTGCCCAAGCATGAAGATTTCCAGAATATTATCTTCTGTTCCCTCATAACCAATTGCCAATCAATGAATGTGGTCATGGGACCCTCCAGACATCCTTTTTATTCACGATGCTGTTAGGGCTATCTTAGAATCAGAGATGGAAGGGATCCCAAGGGCCATCTAGTCCAACCTCCTGCAATGCACTTTCAATATCATTTGCACCTGCAAAGGTTTGGGGGCAGTCATACTGTTTCAATCAGTGCATATCCTGTAGCTTCCTGCTGAAATCCTATAACTTTTAATGCCCCAAATTTTCTGAGGATTTGGTTTTTTTGCTCTGCTTTTCTTGTGCTAAAAGCCCCTCTAGATAGCAATAATGTGGTAGCATTAGGAAATAATTGCAGAACTACTAAAAAAACAAAACAACATGAGTACACTATTGTTTATCAAGAACATGTTGCAGAATATATACCCACAATACTGTTACTGTGTGCACACACACACGAACGAGATTTCTTGGATGCCAAGCTCCTAGCTTGGTGCAAGTACTCTTTGGTGAGAGAACTCCAGCAGATTTAAAAGCACAAAACATGCAGCAAAATATAGGCTGTTAGGCCTTTAAAATATGCCCTTCCAAGTCAGTTTCAAAATGTCTCCTTAAAAAGTTCCTTTCCAAAGCTTCTGTTCCCCCAGCATAGAAAAGGACCTCATGCTTGTTAAGTTTAAAATTGGCTTACTTACAAACTCTTCAAAAGTCTGGTCCATGTGCTTTTCCATACATCAGTCAAAAATGTTGCACAGGCAGCAAAACGTAGCTTAGTTACAAAATGGTAAAAGTTGATACAGGAAACAAAGAGTGGCTGGTGAGAGCCATGCAAATGACCTGGAACAACCAGCTCAAACCTCTTTACATGATCAACTTCTCATGTACACAGGGGAGGAGGAAACAAAAGACTTGATTACCTACTTCCTCCCAAGATAAGGGACGTGACATAGCTAAGTCTGGCAGGACATCTTACTCTATAGTATTAACCCTTTCATGCATTAATTAGACTTAAGGAAATCTAAGTGAGCCTGGTTATCCGACAAATACAACACCAATCTGGAGTGGCCCTATCAGGAGTGAAACGTGTATCTGCTCCTGGTATGTATAAGATGAAAACTGCTTACAAACTGTAGGAACAGTGAATTCCACTGTGACGCTGCAAACTGCTTTTTCTTGTTCTGCCAAATGGCTGTTCAGTATGAAAAATGGCTCACTGTCAGCAGAGAGCCTTCTTCTCCCTCCTGAGATCAGCATTCTTCATTGTTTTATTGAGATAAACTGACAGGACATGCAGACCTGGAACTTTATTTTTGCACATACTAAATTGCAAATCAAGGTGCTGTCAAGGGGGACTGGCAACAAAACAATGAACTGGAATCGGACCAGCTCAATCAAATTTGCATTGAGCAGCCCCAACAAAAGCACCACTGATTTAATATCTTTCAGGTGAGTTGTCACGTAATGAGTTGTTATTTTTTAAAGCCAAACAAACCTTTCACACGTGTTGGCTACTATTTGTCATCTTTATCACAAGAATTGTAGCCATTACCATCTCCATGTTTATGTAACATTCAGCTCCATGTTTATGTAACATTCAGCTCAGCCCTAGGAATTCTGCATCCTAGTCCTTGCTGCATGGTGAAGTCACTGTGCCAATGACCTTCCAACAAAGCTGCCAACATACCCAGAGAACTAAATCTTGTCCAAAGCATTAAAGCAGGGGTAGAGAACCTCAGTCCAGGGGCCAAATGCTACTCCCAGGCCTCTCTGGCTGACCTTTGGGACTCTCTGCAATCATCTCTCCAGGACATACCTGACTGACCCTGATTTCCACCCACTTTAAGTGTTTTACTTGATTGGAATGTGGCCTTAAACTGTGATAACTTACTTAGATACAGGACAGGTGTGTGCAAAGGTGTGTAGAAACTAGAAACACAGAAGAAATTCAATTTAAAGCCGAATCTACCAAATTCGCATGTAAGAACTGAATTGACAGCCATTCTTTGAAATTCTCCAAATTTTGCAATGCAGATCTACAACCAAGCGTTAAAAAATATAT